GGAGCCTGCAGAGTGTTGGTATGCATATATCAGTTCCCCCTGTTATGACCAGAAAGACGTACAGCCATGAATTTCACTGAAGTTTATGATTGGTCCCCGACTGCCTCCACCATCACATTTGGCAGAGAATCCTCTTCTGGAAGCATTCTCGCAGTTAGATAAACAAGCAGATATGCTGAACTGGTGCATGAATGAATAGGAAATATCCCAGTTCCAAAGGATAAATCTGTCATGTGGTGGAAGGGTCTTCAGGCAAAACATTTGGTTCTGCAGTCGCTTGGAGGATTGCGCCCATGCTATAATTAATGCTACTAGCAGTAAAAGGACATTAGGGATGTCGCGCATGTTGATTATTTCTTCATTTTGTTTATCCAAGTTTCCCTCCCTTGAAAGCTCTATGACCATTGCCAAAGAAAGCCCTGGAGACAGAACGTTAGCCGCTGCTCCTTGTAAGTGCATCATTAGCTCGCTCCAATCAAAGTCCTTTTCTTTTTTTTCCCTTCTTCTTCTTCCTTTTTTTTTTTTTTTTGTCAATAGAAGATGAAAACATTATTGGATTCAGGAGTTCATAGTAGTCCTGTGTGCGGCTGGGGATGAGGGGGATAGATTTATGAAATGGACCATTTCAAATGGCATTATCTTCCCACAGTGAGGTACACCTTTCATAAATCATGGGAGAGTGCTCAGAAACAGAGCATTTGTTATTCCTGCAGCCCACTGCATTTGCATCCCCCACCATCCCAGGGACCTGGGGATTCTCAGGTTTCCTTTCCTGGGTGTGAAAGAGCAATTAATCCCCTCGTGATGAAATTATACGAGAGAAAGAGGAAGAATTGTAATCAAATGAAAGATTCCTCCATTTAAGTCAAAGATTGTGCTTTCACTACTTCTTTTTTTACTCATGCTGAATTTTTTTTGGCTCACTTATTTAGGTCTTAATTTAATTATGGCACTAATTAAGTTTTTTAGTTTATTTTTTCACTGTAAAGCTTGAGCTGTATTCTGCAGGATGAAGTAGATGAACGAAGTTCAGTTGGGAAAGCAAATGGATGGGATATGGCCTGAGATTTTCTTTCCCTTCTCGGTCTTTCCCCATCCTTTAGCTAGTGAGCAATTATTATTTACTACACCTATGTCCAAATTATGTGTGGTTGTGTTTCTAATATGAAGGCTCCCATCTTTTCACATAGCCTGGATGTGATTTGCGTGGAGAAGCAAAGCAAATTCTTTATCTGTCCTGGACATCGTTAAAATACCTTCTAATAGTCAATTCCCCTTAAACCACTGCAGTTGTTTCCAGCACTGCCAGCTCAAGTTGCAGAATTACCCTTTAGTGGTAAAGGAATAACAATCATCATCCTGGCCTCCAGTGCAGGCCACCCTTCCCATTCTGTTGACACCCTGGAGAACAGTCTGAGGGCATTGTCTTTCTCCCTAAGTGATAACAATAACAATTGAAATAGAAGGAAAATTGACCTTATTTTGGGGGAGGGAGGAATTAATAAAGGTTTGCCAAAGTATATCAGACACTTGAGAAAAGTTGCATTTTTAGATACCTCCATCTCAGAAAGTTTGACACATTTTTTTTCCCACATGTAACACAAAAAGATAAATTGAACTGAATGAACACATACAAGGGCTTTGAACTTGACTGACTGAATTTGATGGTCACCACAAAACATAGGGGGACATTTCTCAAGCTTGAGATATTGTGAGACATCATTGTGCAGGCAAACATGGTCTAGAAATTGAGAAATCTGTTCTTGCACTTCTCTCTAGTCGCCTCCAAGGGATTAATTCCAAATCCCATGGCTGAGGTCCCGGGTCAGGATGAGCTCTTACATGATGTACTTTGCCTGTCCTCTTTCTGTGTTCTCATCCCCTCCTCTCACCCAAAGAAATAAGACATTCATTTGCAAGTATATACCAGGACAATCTTAGATTTATATGAGACAGACCTTGGGTTGAAGTCTCCCTTGATTTTTCCTTGCCTCTCCTGCTTCTGTTTCCAGTTTTACAAAATGAAGACCGTGATGGCAGCCATCCAAAATTCCTGCACAGATCCAGCTAGATGATGAATCCAAGTGAAAGCACATAGTAGATGCTGAGACCAAATAATTCCTCTTTAGGGAATGCCTTCTGTATGATATGCACTCAGTTTCGCACGCTGCAGATAACCTTTCCTTTTCTGTCTTCAATTTTCAAAAAGATTCTGTGAGGTAGGCATTTTTGAGCTCATTTGTTAAGATAAGGAGACTAAGGTACACTAAACTAGTAAAAAGCAATCGAGGATCCAAACCCTAGTCTCTTGGACATCAAATGTTGTACTCTCATCCACTGCCTATTCATCTCCTGGGTCTACAAGCTCCTCATCCCAGGTCAGAAAACTTGTACAGGACTAGAGAACTCCAAAGGAGAGAGACGAAGAAGACCCAGGCACAAGTGCACGCAGAACCACTGAGTTCCTGGACCTTCTAGGCCATGAGGCTTCCATAGAGCAGTCTGGATCTTTCTATTTCTGACTCATCTCATTGGCTCAAGTCTGAAGGACAAACAGAATGATGGGAAACGACTCTGCTCTGCACTGATCTGTCAGTGCTTGGGCACAGTTGGAAAAGTCCAAAATATTATGGGACCCTCAAACAGTAGCAGAGTGTGCCGTTGTGGGATGGAGCCAGCAGTTAAAGGCAGTGCTATTGGGGCACAGAGCCAGCAGCCCAGCCAACACATCCGGCCTCCCAGTTCACCTTGTGGATTCCATCATAGGAAGGGATGGTGTGCCTACCGCGATCACTGCCTGGTGGGTGAAAGGCTGCCAGTCAGCCTGAATGAGTCCATCTCATTTCTGAATATGTGACCTGGGCTGGCTGAGATGGACAGGGGACCCCCTCTCTGTTACCCATGCCTCCATGGCTGATATCCGCAGTCACCTGAGAGTCCTGATTTTCTGTTATCAAAGGATATGTTCCAAGGCATTAGTCAGATATTTAAAAGCTCATTAAGAAAAGAAATTTGGAGAAAAACAAAACAGAACAGTAAACAGGAACACACTGATTTCTGAGAATTCTTCTGAGTTTTCTTTGGGTGTGGTACTGGGGCAGGACTGGTGTTGAATTTGGATTGAGTTCTGTCTCTCAAGACTCAGCACAAAGTGACCCATCCATCTACGCCATCTTTTCTACCCTCCATTTCCAGATGGAGTTGACGCTCTTCACTGGGCTCTACTCTACTTTGCCAGTTTCTACCTTTTTCAGTCTCTATCACACTGACTTGAAATGACTTTGTCTGTTCCAACTGTCAGACTGTGAACTCCTAGAAGACTGGAACTGTTTAGATTCAAGATCTTCAAGACATATGTCACATCAGTGAGTGGAATCAAGGTGTCAACAGACAATGGACCAAAGACTGCAATAATACTGTACTTGTATATCTCCTACTAAAGCTGGTGGCCAAGATAAACTATCACGTATTTGACTTGTCTGGCTGTGGTCAGATTGTGTTAGTAACCGTGCATATAAGTGCCCTGAGGTTGGTGACTTTTTCTCAAGTTGGAATTCATAGCAGGCCAAGCCAGCACTCCAATTTCTCAGGGAGGGTTTCATGCAGGTGGGATTTAACATCACAATATTCTGGGCAGGGCACCTGCAGACATCTTAAGGGCCCAAGGAGACCACTGCTGCTTGTGAAACTGGCCTGTGACCCGTATAAGTAAGTGACTCTGGTCATGCAGGTGAATGAATAAAACTACCCTTTCTTGACATTCCCACCTAGCTGCTTCCCCAATAATTAAACCAGATCCAGAACACAGGCAAGAGAATCTGATTGAAAAAGCTTTGAGGATCTAGAATAAGTGAAAAACAAAACAATAATGACACCATTATTGTTTCCATGTTCACTTCTATCTTCTTTGCATTTCCATAGAATATCAAGGCATTGCCAGGTGAATTGTTTTTTAAAGGATAACATTCAGAAATGAACATCTTTTGGAACAAAGAAGCAACTTGAATTGAACAACTTAAGTGTCATTTGGTTAGTTTTCTTAAACGTATAATTTCAAACTTCAGAATGAGAAGGCAATTTGTCTTGGTACTTGTGAAATTCACACTTTCTTTCATTTTAATGCACCTGAAGTTTCACATCAAAAAAATCAAATTAGGGTTTGAAAGTCCATGCCCCAACCAAAAATTTGAGGTTTTGATTCCTTTTATATTAATGGGTTTTTGTTTTGTTTTGTTTTAATCTCTTTTGTTATTGTTACACTTAAATATCCAACGAGTTTTCTCAAAATATCTGGCCTTTTAGTCTGTAAGGCTTCTATCCTTTTTTGTTTGGTTATATTCTTTATTTGATCTGATTACAGATTTTTATTTCTAAGGAATCTTTTTAATTGGCGTCTTTTATTGACCCTTCCCTCTCCCTTCCATTGTCTTAACATCTCTTTGATTTCTGTTTCCTTCATTGCTTCTCAAAATCTTAAAAATTATTTTTCTTGAAGCCCATTTTGCATATGCTTTATGTTCTTGGCAGAGAGAAGCTGATGAATTCGTGTGGATGACCATGGTTAGAGGGGAAGGGGCTTCATTTCATCATCACTGGACATGGGGCTAATTCTGGCTTTCTACTTTAATATCTCTTGTGAACTTGAACATGTTGTTACGTCTCACCGTATATTAATTTTCTCACCCATCCCTTCGGGATAAGTAATACCTGCCTTGCCTTCCTCCCAGGCTTGTTGCGTAATTCAGCAGAGTAGCTAAACTGTACAGCTCTAATACATGAACTGTGGGCTAGAAACACATGGTGATCTAATTGATTCCCTGAAATGAAGTGTTGATTTAAGAAATTCCTGAAATTAATTTTACTTTTTAATTCCTCCTTCCAGAATGCAGAAACAGCTCAGCCTATTTTCCCTTCTGTAGTTGGAGAGAATCTAGGAGTTCCTAGGTGAACAGGAAGTAGCCACATTCTTTTACATTAGTTATACAATGACAAGATTTCAACTTTCAGTTCAAAAGTAGTGGTAACTTCTTTCTCTTCTTCTTTTCTTTCTTTTTTCCTTCCTTCTCCTCTCCCTTCCCTCCTCCTCCCCTTTCTTCTTCTCCTCTTCTTCCTCCTCCTTCTCTTCCCTTTTTTCTCCTTCTTTTCCTCCTCATCTGCCTCCTGCTCCTCTGTTTCCTCTTCCTATTTCCTCCCCACCCCCATACATCTCAGCAGGCTTGAAAACTCGGTGGGTGCATTTATTTGTCAGACTGACGGGAGCTGGGGGGTCAGTGGGTGGAGCACTCTTTGGGCTTGGCTGTGGGCTCTAGAGGAACTGTAGGGCAAAGCCAGATTGTGATGCAAGAATTGCAGTGGCAAGGGGTGTCACACTGACCTTCAGGAAGTCAGCACGATGCTTCTTCCTGGAAGACTCAGAGAATTAAAGAACGCTTGAAGAGTCAGTGCTGCCTGCAATAAGACTGGATTAGTGAGAAGTAATTTCTTCCCTTTGTCCCATCTTTGCCTCCAAAAAAAGGAGTAAGTTTTATTTTTTTTTTAAAGATTCTTTTAGATATGCCTTCCTGCTCAATAAATCCCTGGGGGGGGGGGCACATTAGTCTTCCATTAAAAATAGATCAAAAAAGTCCTCAAAAGAAAAAAAAAACCACAACAATGAAATAAATTAGGATAATACAACTGGAGGCCTGCAGATGAGATCTCTACATGTTATATTTTCTCAAGCCTCTTAGATTTTTAACTTCTTGTTTCTGCCTGAAGCAATAAAGGCAGGAACACTGTCATTAGCTTCAAAAATCTTTTTTTTTTAAAGCTCTAGCTGCATTGGTTGTGTTTTTCTTCCCCCTTCAGCTGTATTCCTGCATTTATTACAGCACAGGTGCATCTGGCTTTGCAAGTTGGAGGAGATGAAAAGGGAAGGAAACTTGTCTCTTCCTACACGCAGGAGAGTGGCAGCCAAACCAGCTGCCTTCACAGCGTCACCTCCCTGATGCTCCGTGCCTGTCCCGGTTCCTCAGTCTCAGGGCCAGGCAGCTGCTCACTTCCCACTCTGTGATCAGATAACCCGGCTCACAAAAAGCCCGGGGATAATCCCTTGCATTGTTCAATAAAGTAATTGCTTTGTGCTCTCAGCTCCTTAAGAAGCACCTGAAAGAGTGCTCCACCTAGACACTATTTATAACCATTTGCACCTCTTGCCTCTAGCTGCTAAATTGGAAACCTAATTTTAGATCCATTCCAGTCGAAATATGTGTAAAAGAAGCCTCAAAATAAAATATTCCAGGGTGGCGCCCAAGCGTCCTCTGAGTCTTCGGGTTAATTTACCTCGCTGTGGATATTTAATTATGTCATTGAGAAAACACCGGTAATTAAATCATCATTTCTTAGGCGCTGGGTCCAAGGACATTACAGAAGGAGCCAAAGGCGGAGGCAGGAGAGAAGGAGGGTGGAGACCAGAAGAGCTGGTTGAGAAGCTGGGGTCCAGCTCCGCAATCCCGCCAGGGGTGAGGTCATCATCCTGCCTTTCTCAGCCTATCTGAGCCTGCAGTGGGGACAGCACCTTCCACCTCCTTGGTCTGTAGGGAAACTTGTGTTCTCATTGCTCAGGACCGCCAGTGCTGTCTGCCCCCCTTCTAGGACTTGCTTACACATCTTCAAAATGTAGCGCCGAGTACACACACCAGACAGATCTCGGAGCGAGTCTCTTCTGGGTGGCCACACTGGGGAGTCAACTCCGGTGAGTGAGCCCAAAGTGGCTCTCAAGTGGCATTTCACCTTTGAAGGCCTCTCAAGTCCTCAGAGGCCTCAGTCCCTGTGAAGCTCTGTTCCCTGTCTTAGAGAGGTCCATGGATGCCCCCTGGCTCCTGGGCCCTCAAGTTTCTCTGCACTTCACTCCTCTGGGCAGTAGAAACTTCCAGGGTTCCCATCCTGGAGGGATCCTGGCCCCCAAGCAGAGGGGAGCTCACTTTGCGGGCCTGAGGTAGGCCGACTTCTGACCCTGTGACGGTCTCCCTGGTGTTACTGCCGTGCTTGTGTTATGCAGCATGACCAAAGGGACTTTGCAAAGGGAGCTGAGTTAACTAGTCAGCTGTCTTATAAGTAACTGATTATCCTGCATTATCAGAATGGGCTCAGGTAAGCATGGAGCCTTTCACAGCCAAAAGCGAAGGCAGGGGAGGGAGGCAGAGCTGGAGTAAAGGGAGGCCACACTCCTGTTGGCTTTGAAGATGGGGGAGGCCACAGGGCAAGAGCTGTGAGCCCTGCTAAAAGCTAAGAACTTGCTCTGGCTGACAGCCAGGAGGAAAAAGGGACCTTCATCCTGTAACTGCGTAGAAAGCAGGGACCTCAGCCCTGTGGTGGCTACTGGAACCAACCGAATGCTGCCAATCACCTGAATGAGCTGGACCGCAGATTCTTCCTCACTGTCTCCTGGAAAGGACCTGGGGTGGCTTCCACCTTGGCTTTGGCGTGGGGATCCTGAACAGAAAACCCATCTGAGGCCCACCTCTGCGCCTGAGCTTCTGACTCACAGCAGCTGTGGGATCATAAGTAGATGCGTCTTCTCCAGCAGAGCCGTTGCAAATCGACACAGCACCATGGGGCGTTCTGTGGGCTGGGTGTCCACCAGCCCTCGGGCTAGCCAGCCTGTTCCCCTGGACCCCTCAGTCTTCCTCCTGTTGTCCCTCCCAGGAGACTGGGCTCCTTCATTCGACAGAACTGCTGCTGTTTGCTTACAAGTGTGTTCAGAGTCATCACAGCCTAATTACTGCTTTTGACTAATCCCACACATAATGTGGCACGTCCTGCTGTACTGCTTTTAATTTCAGAGCTGAACACATTTCTATTCTTTGCATCCCCCACTCCAAGTGTCATGTTAACTCCATCTGGACAGCGCTTGGCGGTGTAGGTATGGCTTCTCCGGAGCTGACTGCCGCTGTTGGCCCAGACAACACTAAAAGCTTCTCCTCCGGAGCAGTGACGGTCTTGTGTGCACCCCTCCGTCTGGCCTGAGAGATGTCACTTTGTGTTGTGACTCGTCACCCACTTCTGTGTGACTCAGTGACTCTGGGTCCTACCTTCTTAGTAGGGACAGTCGGGTTGACTTCATGCTCATCGTATGCCAGGCAAGGTGGACACCAGGGCTTTTTATGATTCACTATTCATCCAAATTAGAACACTCCCATTTGACAGATGAGAGGACAGAGTCTGGGAGACTCTTCAAGGATTGGAGCTCCCCATGTAATGCAGCATGTGAATTTCAGCAGTAATACCAGAGAGTATGTTCCTAACCACAAAACTGCACTTCCACTTGTTTTGCTTTATTTTTTCATTAAAAAGAATAAGAATGATCTCAGTGTTCCCACCTGGGCAGGCTGTGGATTGGCTACCTCATGCATCATTTTCCACTCCTCCCCTCAGTCTGTTGGTTGAATTTCTCTCCAGCCCGTGCGTGTGTGTATATGTGTGTGTATGTCTGTGTGTGTGTGTGTCTGTGTGTGAGGGTGTTAGTCAGCCAGTGCTATTTGTTTGAATTCAAAAGAAAAGGAACGCTGACCACTTTCAATATTTATTACTGCAAAAACAACAAAGTTACGGTGGCATGCCGTTGTTCTGAGAGGAAGGGCTGCTTTGCCTGTCAGCCCTTGCGAAGGAGGGGGCTGCATTGGAAAGCTAAGCTAAAGCTAAGTACCCTGTCCACTTGAATTTCAGGAGAGCGTAGCACAACCCTGGCTGTTCTAATTGTTTTCTCTTCACACCCCACAGATGCGCACATACACGCACACATGCCCACGTGAGCACACACACATGCACACATGAGCACACACACATAGATTTCCTTAATCAGAAATCGCAGATTTCTAAACCCATAAAATACTGAACTTAAAATGATTTCTATTATAAGGGGTGAGAATTTTGAGCTGGAATACATTATCCTTGGGTCATTACAGTGGACCCTTGACTTACAAACTCCAGCAGTTCCTGAGGGCTGGTTGTAACTAAGTCAGTACAGCTGAGATCTGGATGTTTACCTGGGTACATGCTATAGAAAACATGAGGCAGATGAATCTTCCATTAACCTAATTAGCCGAAGTTGTTCATATGTCAGGCCAGTCGTAACCTGAGGGTTCACTGTGCTTCCTATAAGCATTTTAATAATGGTTTCCCTTCGACACTCACAGTGATAAAATTAGGCAATTTCAAAAGAAGCCTGAAATGATCTGCTGGCATCATGTCCAGGACTTTGAGAAACCTGAAGATGCTGATGCCTTTGGGGAAAGGCAGATTTTGGCAACTGTGGCTCTGACTGCCTCCTCTCATTCAAGTGCCTGGTATTTGCTGGGGCTATGGTAACTGAAGGCCCTGGGGCCACACTTGTAAGAGTTTCTGTCTCAGGTGCTTTAAACAGTCATTTCTCTCCAAGAGGACGGGTAGGTAGCAGAAATGATAGGAGAAAATTAAGGGAAAAAAAAACCAAATGAGGGTGGAATTTTTATTTTCAATTGTCAGTGACAATAAACCCAACCAATATTCTCTCAGGCAAAAAAAAAAAATCCTTGATTTATAGAAATGGGAAGCCAAGGAGTAGATCTGGCATGGTTGGGTCCAGGTGATCAAATGACATCATTGTAATTCTGTCTCCCCATATCTCAGCTGCACTTTCCCTTTTGTGACTTTATCTACAGACAGGGTCTATATGGGAAAGGAGAAATGGCCCCCATGAGCTACATTCTTTGTTTTTTCTTTTGTTTTTTTTTTTGGTACCAGGGATCGAACTCGAGTCCTTGCGCTTGCGCAGCAGGCAGTGAAACCACTGAGCTAAATCCCAGGCCCTGTGAGCTACATTCTTTATGTTCAAGGTCAATTAGCAAGCGAGAACAGCTCCTTCCCAAAGGATCAACCAGGAGTCCCCAGGCTGATTCTCACTGGTCCTTAGTGGGTCATATGTCATGACTTTCATTGGTCCTTGGTGGGTCACATGTCATGACTCTCATTGGTCCTTAGTGAATCACATGTCATGGCTCTCATTGGCCCTTAGTGTGTCACACGTCATGATTCTCAGTGGCCCTCAACAGGTCGCATGTCAATCCCTAAGCACATCACTGTGACCCTGTCTAGACCCAAAATGAATGCCACCTTAGAGCTGGTGGATGGAATCAGCTTAACCCACACAATGTGGACCAGGAGCAATGGCATAAAGAAGGCACTTTTTTTCCCCAGAAAAAAAGTAGATATTAAAAGGGAGGTAGATATTAAAAGGCCCCAAACGACAGACTTCTGTGGCACATTCTATGGTTACCTTAGCACCCATCTCTTGGCTGTTACGCCTGTCCCATCCTGATGTGGGTTTTGCACTAGGCTTATCGTCAATGGAGTTGGAGACTGCGTCTTTTACCCCTGAGAGCCAGGTGACGATGGTGCCATGGAAGAGATGGGAGCAGCGCACACTCACAGCTATGCAGCAGGCCAGCCAGGGTGGCAGCTGACAAGGCAGGTCTGCGGAGGCCAGATGGCAGTTCCTGGCAGCAGCACACCAGGGGCAGATGGCAAAGTTTTTGCCATGGAGATGATCAAGAGACCAGTGGAAGCCAGTGGGAAGATGGCTTCCTTTCTGTACCTTTTAAACTGTGGCCAAAGTGATCTTTTCAAAATGGAAACCCTCGTGCACCATTCCCACTCCTCCAGCCCCAGCTCATCCATGCCGATGATTTGCTGTTGCTCCTAGAATGGACAGAGACTCTGAAATGTCCTCTACATTCCTGCTCCAAAGATCCGGCCCCTGCCTGCCTGCCCAGTTCATTGCTTACTGCGCTCTCTTTAACTCTCTGTTCTAATACCACACAGGAGTTCTGTCAGCTTCTTCAACTTTCCCTACTGCCTCCCAGCCCAGGACCTTTGTACATGATGATGTGACCCCTACTTCACTTCTACTCATTCTTTATATTTCAATTCAATTGTCATTTCCTCCAGGGAGCCTTCCTTGACTCCATTACATTCTCCTAAAAGTTACCACAGCTCAGTATGCTTACTCTTGGAATCAGTGCGTGAACCTGCAATCTTACATTATTGTGTGCTTATTTTTCAATTTCTGTTTTTCCCCACTAGATAATAACCTCTCTAGGGCATCACTAGT